ATGAAGACCAGAAAACTCTTCATTGTCATAGGTGCTTCTCTGCACACCCTAAAACCTTCCATCCTTCAAAAAAAGACTGAAAACTTCAAAAACTACAGCAAGCTATGGCAAGAGAGTTTGACTGACAAACTTAAAAGGCCTAGAAGTCAGAGATGCTTCTCCAAGCAGGAAAAAGGCAAACTGTAGGCCTGCAGTTGAGGGAAGCAAAAGCTGGGCAAGAACTTCACGTTAGCACTAGTGCTAACAGTGGTGCTGGCACTGAAAAGAGAGCTGTAACAATGACAGCATTTTGTTCAAAAAAAAAAAAAAAAAAAAAAAAGGTTGGCAGAAATTACCCTCCTCATTAAAATCAAAAGGCTTTGAAAATGTATTGATTTCAACAGAAGTTGCTACAGAAATGTGTCTTTTCATTAAAACATCTTATTGGTCCGAAGAGGCAACACACCACTTCAGCAGAAAGGCTGCTGGGCTTTGAAGACTAGTGAGCAGTATGCAATGATTTTTAAAACTATTTAGTAATGTAATGATTATGATACATGAGTAAGGGCAGTATATATTAAGGTGTCAGTACTGACATGATACAGAATGAAACAAAATATTTTTAAAAAGAAAAATCCTGTAATTCAAAAATTCCAAATCCTAAGCACAGAGACACAACTGAGCAGGGTGGCTGCAACTTGCCACCAAGCAGCACCTCAACAGCAGACTGAAAATTTAGTTCTGTTGTGGGATGTAATCACAGACTGAAGATCCATACAGGTAGGGAAAAGCATTTTAATAGCTATATACAGCTATTCAATTTTCCTCAGCTGAGACAGATATAAAACGAAATCTCAGCATGGAGTAAGTACTGTTATCTTTGCAGAATGTACTATCCACTGCTGTTTAGAGTGTGCTCATTCAAGATAAACTTGACAGCATACAATTCACCTTTCTAAAAGATTATGTTTAAAAAATAACAGAGAATTTGGTCTCAATTTAAGGTTCAAATACAAATGATCTTATGACAGGGAGAACCAGAGCGTAAATTGAATGATGCTTCTGTTGTGGCTAATTACTTGTGTGGTGGATTGCCTAAATATTTCTAATTGATGAGTTTCTTTGGTGTTCACAATTCTGAGTTAATTAAAGAGCTCCTGTTTTGAAATTCCCACTAGACACCGTGAAAAGCTTGAGCTGTGCTTGACTTGCAAGTTTGTCCGTACTTATGAGCATCACATGCCATCAATGCCCATCAATGCACAGCAGACTAGTGTCCAATTATCCTGAATCATCTGACTCTACACAAAAAGGGCTTCCTTGCTGGTTTGTGTCACAGCTTCCCAACATGTACCAGTCCCCTCTATAACCGTTCACTCCTGGTTGGACTGTGTTCTCTCTTCTCTCTGAATGCATCTCCAAGCAAAAGTGATAACATAGTGCTGCATGCAGTCCCAATTCTGCAGAAATTCTCCTGTCTCTATCATTTTCTATAGCCCTTTTTGACTCAGGAGCTGTATCTTGCAAAAATATAGCTGAATAATATAACTAGCATCTGCTGCTTTTTCTGTGTTTCTCCTTTCTGCTCTTTGAGAGAGTACAGGAGAATTTTTAAAGCTGTATGCAATATAGCACCATGTGATTTTATTAACAGAAGCAAGGTCTAGGAAGTGATGAAATTTCGGGTGAATCTTGGATTCTAGATAACCTCTCCCTTGGAGAGAGGTGCCACCCCAGCAGCATTTGAAGTGGCAGGCAGCCCCACTGTGCCTGAACAGAATTTTCAAGTGCATCACATTCTTGTTGCACAATGATGGTCTCTTCATAAAAGCATGTGGTGATAAATGCTCTCTTCTGACAGAAAGCAGTGTCCTGATCTTATGCAAAGGTCAGACTGTTTGTCTCGCTCCTAGTTCAGCACTCTGCTGAACAAGCACTCTGCATCATATGCACTCTGTGTTGCTTAAAGGAGAAATCAACTTTACTGAACATCTCAAATGTTTGGGTTTTGTTTTGATTTTTTTTTAATAATATACACAAGAAAAAGCTCTATTGTCCCAAGACCACGAAAATAGCCTAGAAATGAAGAGAACAAGAGTGTAAAGAGTGTAAACCATGACTGACTTTTAGTGTAAACCATTACTGACTTGTTTTTTTTTTTTTTTTGATTGTCTAATGATGTCTTGAGAGGGAGACTGAAAAGAGCTTTTCTTCACTGAAGGGTCCCTAACAAGTCACGGTTACTCAAACAAGAGCTGACAAAACTTCCCTGACTTTTGGAGCTATGGTCAGGCACCATGCAGTGAATGAACGAACAAAGTGCTTATCTACAGAAAAGTTTCCTGGATTCATAATATCATATATTTGGCAGAAAATACGAAAAGTTACTTTCTTTTCCTAACTCTACCAGACATTATCCAAGAAAGAGGTAGTGGAGGAGTTTTTATATATAAAAATAAATAAATATATATA